TCAGTTTTTTTTTTTTTTTCTAGATTACATAATAAAGATTACATTAAATTTGAGTAATTTTTTGTAAAAAGCATGTCTAATTAATTAAAATGATAAAACTCGCACAGTTTAACAACCATTTATTAAAAGTTTAACAAAAATGACATTTTAGGGCTCTATGGAACCAGTTTTATTTTTTCCAAGATTCCTTTTTTTTTTTCCCCCATTTAAATTTTTCTGGATTCCGTTTAAATTGTTTAATTAAATATTAATAATCAAAAATCTAATCTAATCAATTGATCTTTATCAATTTGATAATTTATTTTTACAACATTTTTGCAATAATAGGGTTGTATGTAAAATGTAATTTTTACAGAAATTCTGTGTTGTGTGTTTTAATTGTTTTGGATTTATGATTTAATACAAATGTATTATCAAAAAACAGGGGTAATGAAATGAACATGATCAATGTATTGAAACTTAAAATGAAACATTCCTCAATTTTGAGCAAACAAGGTGATGCACATCAGAGGTTTACTGTTAATATTAACATGTGGAAGAAACAATTTGTGATTTTCTTTAAAAAAAGTTTTGAGTTTGAATCTCAATTTTACAAAAAAAAAAAAAAAAATTAATTAAAAAAAAGGGGGAAAAAAATTTAAATTTCATATCATGTTCATTCATATGCATATTATAATGTTACACAGCATGATTTGTTTTCAGGTTTAAATTTAACTTTGAATCCAATATTTTTCAATGTGGACTTTGGATGCCCAATGTATTAAGAAAGTGAATTTTGATTTCATGATGACTCCATCAGTTGATTCCATCATATGACATAAATCAAGCAATCACTGAGGCTCGTCAATAAAAGCCTGTTCATTAAAGGCAGAGTAAGTGATTTCTGGTAGCCAATGTTGATATTTGAAATCACCAAAACAAATACGCCTCTACCCCAAAAGGGTCTCGCCCCTATTTTGATAGCTCCGCCCCACATATACGTACGCAACCCAGGCAACGATTAGTTCTGTGAAAAAAAGCAAAACCAATGTTACACCGTGTCTACGGACGTCAACGGCGCGGCGCAACAAATCCCCGACAGTCGGTTCCCTGAGAGCGGGAACGAGACATCACGGAGATACTTCAGGAAAGGTTGGAAGGGAAGGAGTTCCCATAACAGAGAATTATCTCCGTGATGTCTCATGAAAGCTCGAGAGGGAACTGCTGCCGGGTTCTAATTATGACGTGCTGACACAGATTTCAAATGGTTTTCAACGGTCGTTTGATCGCGTCTAGTGTAGGCAGACTTTAGCTGTTGTAGACACGGTGTTACTCACCTATTGAGAAGAAACAAAGCAACCTCGGCGTCCGATCGCAGGCCTCCGCTCCTTGAGTTCTCTCCAGCGCTGGAAAGCTGATCCGATATTTACACGGGTCCTACTTCTTGCCTTATCGTTCCGCAGACGTTTTCCTCTTTTGTTTTTTATCCGCCATCTCTATCTCTCTGTCGCTCGGCTCGGCTAATGTCCGTCCCATGCACTGAACGCGCTCTCATCCACATCACGAGTAGACACGCCCCTTATTGCTGATTGGCTACAAGTTTGTTTTGCGATTCGGCCCGAATCAGTTTTATAAAGTGTTTTTGAAAAATCACTTACTATGCCTTTAAGAGCACAAATCCAATGGGAGCAAAGCAAATCAAGCTTCATGATTTGCTCTGGGCTCTAAGTTCGCTGCTGCAACTCACTGAAGCGGCAAACAAACAGCTCTGCACATGAACCTCTGAGGCTGCCTCGCTCGTACACACCAGACTCATCCTGAGGCTCTCACAAGCTGCAGGACCTTCAACTTCAAGAACCACTACTTCGGTTTCTTTACAAGATCCCGTTGCTTAATAATATGCTGAAAAGATATGTTGATCAGATGAATGACAGACAGACAGACAGACAGACAGATAGACAGATAGATAGATAGACAGATAGATAGATAGATCAGAGGGCAGGAGAGAGTAACAAACAAGATAGACAGATAGATAGATAGATAGATAGATCTTTCCAGCAGAGGGCAGGAGAGAGTAACAAACATGGACACAGAATAAGAAAGGTGTGTTTTATAGCAACTCTTCACACTGGAAAAATTCCACACAAATCTCAAATGCTTGGCTCATGAGCAACAGAAACATGCTGAACAGCGTGAGAGACAGAACGAGAGCAGAAGAGAAGAAAATCGGAAAAACAGTCAACAGACAAAGAGCAGGTCAACAAATGAAGAAAACAAACATGTTATCAGCAGGTGAGTTTTCTCTGCTCCCTGACCTCTCATCATTTCACATCGAATGTCTCCAAACAGAAAGCAGAAACACCACAGGTGTTGCTACAACATGCTATTTCCAGACTAAACTGTTATTGTTAGAGGACATGTCTCCTGACCAACTGAGTAAAGGTTATCCGCATGGTGATAAGTTCATGAAAAAGGGAAACACTTGGATACAGCATTGATCTTTAAGAAACCCACAGTTTTTGCCAATCCAAAAACAGTTTAAAGGTATAAAGCAACTCTACCCTAGATTTATGTTACACACTAGAAATATTTTTTTTCCTTTTCAACAAATGGTTTGAGAAAGAAGGTGCCTAAAGCTGGCATGAATGGAAATTCACCCTATCAATATCAACTGAATATCAATTTAATGGAATGATTTCAACAGATTATGCCACATACAGACATTTGATGGGTTTCAGCTAGCCACTTTTCATGTTAGGTCTGTTTTGTGTGTTAGAAAAGAGTCAAACATATCTAACAGGCCTCAAGACAAAAACAAACACAGCCTCTGATGCTTCTCAGCTATTCCTCTGCGTACTTAAGTGAGTTAGACAACGGTCTTCATTACCTGCGGCCGTCTCGCCTGTAAGAGTGTAAGACCGGGTGTGATGGAAACTCTGCACGAGTCCCTCAGTGTTTGTATCCAATGTCTAGATCTTCAGATTGAAGACAGAGCTAATGTAATATAGGAAGCTTAATTCTGATTGGATTACAGACTTTCCTTTCACATTCTTCTCAAAGAAATAACCACATGTAATCTTTAAAGGAATGTTCCATGCCGAGTTAAGTTTAATCAACAACATAAATTGCAATTAGGATTAAAAACTTAGAAGGTTTACTTAAAGCCAGAAATGTGAAGCTCATAATTTTATTAAAACACTTACATTAAATTTTCTGTAAAAAAAAAAAAGTGTGCTATTAACCAAACTATCATTTTTGTGGTGGGACTACTGTTCTAAGCATATGAGGCTTGTCATGCACCTAGTGGTACAGACATAGCAGATGGCTTTTGTTTAGACTGTTTCTGGCCGTTTTTCATCATCTGACATTATGAACATATGCAGACAACGGGAAGGAGACAAGTTTATGTTCTTCTGCTGATTCAAGGCAATAGTCTGGCAGACTACCTGCTCACCTCCATGTAAACAAAGAATTTACAACAGCCCCTTTCTCGGAAGCGTCCATGCTTGGACAATGTGTGAAATTTACCTGGTTTACAGGCGTTAATAACATAACGTTGTCACAACAATGCTGAAAGACTGGAAATAATGTAAAAAACAAAGACGTCCTGAAGCCAGAGCGTTCCTTTAACACCCTCAGAAATGGACAATTCTCTGGTCCATGGAAAGAACTCCTGTTTCAAATTCCAGAAAAACTATCAGATCTTAAACTGAAAAAGAGAATGCTTGTATGAAGCCGTTTTTGCATGATGATCACTGCACAATGAGAAATGACAGACTGAAAGGTCACCATTTACCATTCATTCCCTGCATCTCATAAATGTTCCCAATGGACTCCAGCCACTAACAATTATCTGTGACTTTACTAACAGATTCTGTGAATTACATCGGTTTTGATCGCTTGTAGTTAAATTAAAGATCTACTTTCAGTGATGCACCCCAAAAAACTGTCATTTGTTTCTCATTTCATATTTTTAAATGTGATCTAAAACTGAAACAACTTCTAGAATATTGAATAATATTTTATAATCTAGGCTGAAATCAAGCACTGAATATTATTTTAATAACAGCTGTGAACCTAAAAATTCCTCAAATGCAATACTAACATCAAGTGATGCACCCCAAAAAAACTGTCATTTGTTTCTCATTTCATATTTTTAAATGTGATCTAAAACTGAAACAACTTCTAGAATATTGAATAATATTTTATAATCTAGGCTGAAATCATTTTTCAAGCACTGAATATTATTTTAATAACAGCTGTGAACCTAAAAATTCCTCAAATGCAATACTAACATCAACCAACCTATTGTCCCAAAATAAAAAAAAAGATGTTCCTAAAACTATGATCTTTATAAATAACAACAAAGTGCTAAAGAATACATAACAAAAGACACAATTCAATTGTTTAGCATTTTCCGCTCATTTTCTCTTTCAGCCATCAATGGAATTTCCAGCCAAAATTTATAGTGCTCGAAATTCCGATTTATTCCTATTCATTTGTGTGTTGTGTACAATGCAGGAAGGATGGTACATCCAGGCCACAAGGGGGAGCTCTTACCTCGTCCCATTCTGAAGTGAATGAAGGTGATTTTTCCAGTCTTCTCTTGGTGGTGCTACAGTTGGACACTGACTCACTTCGGCTGCCCAACCCCGTCTCTTCCTCACCGGGTGGGGACACCAGTAGGTCGGAGTCGGACTTTGAAAGGCTACGTGCTAGCTTGAGATCACCCGGCGGAGGCATCCTTCTCGTCACCGGAGAATCGCGCGCCGGTGAGTTGTGTTTTGGCGAACCCCGTGGCTCTTTGTGGACCGTGGCGTAGATAGCTTTGGGGTCAGTGTCCTGGAGAATGGTTTCCATGGTGACTGTCGATTTGGGATGGGGAAGGGGGGCGGAGCTCGCAGATGTCGAAGTGCTGGAAGCCTCGCCGGACTTCACTCCAGAGGACGGCAGTGTGAATGCTTCCTCCCGACAGTCGACCACCGGCGAGGAACCGTGAAGCAGACCAGTGAACTGTTCAGGAACGGCAGCGCTTGTATCCTGACCGTGCGATGAGCTCTCTGTCAAGAGAACAGAAGAGAGAGTGAGAGAGTTACAGGCAGACTGTGGAGCCATATCTAGACCAAATAACATGAAACCGCCCACTCCACTACTGTCCAGTGCCTGAAACAGATCTGTTTTTGTTTTCTGACTGGAAAAGGGGGGGGAAGGAAATGCAGAATGAAAGAACTGCATAAAGAAAGAAATTCAGAAAGAAATGCATAAAGAAAGAAAGTTGGGCTCACCAAATTCCAAAGTGCCCGTGTTAGAAAATTCCAAACGCAGGCTATGAGCAGCTGACTTTTCTCCATAGAGATCTGTTTGTGACTTGCTTGTTCTATTCCGTGTCTCTCTCTCTCTGTTGCACTGCTAACAAGCAGACAGCTTTATAAGGCTTGCTTCCAGAGAAGTTATGCTTCACTAAGGATTCCCTTCATTATGAGTGGCAAGCTTGAAACAGGATACCACAGAGATGACTGTGAAAGAAACACACTCGCTCTCTCGCTCACACAAACACCACTTTGCCACACCGTTATGTGTTGGGTTCTTAAAAATTAAATCCCTGCTTTATGATTACAAAATCCTTCTCCCAGAACAGCACAATTACAGATCTCTTCTGACACCCTCTCTCTGGCCTGAAACATACTATAGGCAAGTACATGAATACTTCTATGCAAGCTTGATTTCAAGGGGAGTTGCATTCTCGGTGTCGCCACAGGGGGCGCTATAGTGTACGTTAGCGAAAATTGCCATCTTCGCTCACTTTTCTCTTTAGGTCAACTACTGTCATGCCGGAGCAAAAGTTTATACAGAATTTTGCTGAACAAGTTAAAAAGTTATTTTTTTTAGATACTTTCCTGAAAAATAACATCAGCCTTTGCTCCGAATATTCCTACTTCCCTTATATATAGCAGGTGAAAAACAGAATGTGAAAAGAGCGGTATGTCCAAACTCATAGTATATAAACATGGTCAGAAAAAAAAAGGACCTTCAGGGGTACAACAGCTTGCCACTGGGGCAGTACCCTCAAAGTGACAACTTTGTACAATCTTTACCCGTAAAGGGTGCACTCTAGCACCTTAGAGTTGTACTATGTATCATTAAGGTATTATAATGAACCTTTTAGGGGTAAAGAAGGTCACTTTGAGGGTACTGCCTCAGACACAAACTGCTGCTACCCTAAAGGTACATTTTGAAGTGTGCATTTGATGGACACTTTACTTACGGGAGTGGACTTTACTTAAAGGCAGTAAAACGACACAAGCGATGGCCACGTGACAATGACAACATGGTGGATGTAGTATTTCCGAATTTCATTCACACTACCCGTAATCATACTACATAGAACATGCTTTTTAAAGGTGCAAAGTTCTTCATCAAATGTAGTAGCTATTAAGACCGTATGTGATTTTACAGCTAGACAGACATTTAGGAAACTCTATCGCCCCCTTTAGGACTGGGGTTTACTATTGCTACAGAAACGCAAGTATGTACTGTAGAACTGTGCAATTGCAATTTGTTGGCCCACATTCACGTCTGTTTCACATATGTGCTCTTGCATAGACGGTTTCTGGCGAGAATGTAGATTCTATATTCGCAAGTGCGACAAGTGAAAAACACTCGTCTGCATCTGTTCTCTTCTGTAAATGCACTGCACTTGCTTGAAATGTCTCCTCTGGCAAACACACACACACACAGGCCAAAAGATAAATCCAACCCCATGTCCCTGATACGAGCCAGGCGGCTGGGCAAACAGCCACCATACCAGAGATATCCTGGTGTTGCGTGTGGTGTTTGGTGACAAGAAAACCAAGTCAGCCATGTCAGAACCTAAGGCCTGAAACATTCTGTATGCAAGTACACAAACACATTGCACACACTTGGATACACTGTACATAGCTGAACATGAATCTAGCGTTATAACATTCACGTTGATAATACAAATGATGCATTAGGACTTGCGTTTACTGACCTAATAAACTCTTTTGGAGGTGGTAGAAAACCTCAAGGTGGCAACACAGTTAAAACTAGGGCTGCACGATAAATCGCATGCGATATTTAACGCGCATCTTATCAGTAAAGCCGGTTCTTTAATCAGTGGTAAATCTCCATCACCTGTGGGCTTTCACATTGAGCAGCATTAACTACACAGAGCCGTTGTTCACTGATG